CTGCCCAGATAAAAACTCTTTATATCACATTTTCTCACGTTTCTTTAAATAATGTCTCAAAATGGTAGCATCAAAAAGGGTTTCATTACTGTTACAGGTGAAAGAACATTTATTGGTACTATATACAACTTTTTGCTACAAATATGGGAGGAAATCTCCTTTTATTTGAATATTTACATTATGTGGAAGTTCTTTAAACTTAAAAAAGATCTTCACCTCTCATTTACAAACATGGTTCTTTGATGAACCAACAATTGGGCATCAACCTTAGGGCTCTCATACCGGTGCTCAGGGCCCCCAAGACGGTGCAGATCTTTGCTATAACCTGACTTGCAACACAGGGATACAGCAAGAATGTGGACTGTCTGGGGGTCCCTGAGGACTGATTTGAGGACTGGTGCTTTAGAGGACCAAAAGGCCCCCTGGTGGTTCACTTATAGCAAGAAACCGCCTTGCTTTCATCAGAAAGCTTATGGAAGTTAGGGAAATTTGAGTATTTTGTAACGGTTCTCAAACAGCAGTTGTTTTGTATTCAACTGTTTTGTAACTTTGTAATTTTTAACCCTTTTTTTTGAACTCCTGACAAAACCAGCATTTTTGAATAACAAATGCTAATCTACTAGCACGGCCCCAGGCAGCACGGCTAGTCGGGACAATGCTGTGATTTACATTGCTTCTCCATCCCTGCGTTGCTTTTCTGACAAACGTGGCTGTGCTGCGCGTGGAGATGGAGAGATTCCAGGGTGGCTCAGCGAATCAGAAGTCGTGGGAAAAGGCAAAAAGAAAAAAAAAGAGGGCCAGCAGGGTTGACGGGGTCCACGATGTGATTTTTGTCCATTGCCTCTTCTTCTCTCTCTCTCACTCTCTCCCTCTCTCTTCCTCCCTCTCCCTAGGCCCCAGCAGTCATGGTTAGCTGCTTCGACAGAGACACTGGCTCTCTTGCCCCTTTTCATCCTCCTGCACCCCTCTTTTGCCGGACATTCCCCGTCTTTCAGACCCTTTTACGTCTTCTCACCCCGCAACACCCCTGAAATTCTCCCTCACTCTCCCGCTCTCTCTCTTTCCCTCCCTTGTGCGAGTGCACTTTCCTTTTTGCCCACGATAGCTGCTGACCCCTCCTTGTGTCATTATTCGGGCCCTGCCATTGTATGACATGTTTCTTTTCTCTTTCCTCCACAAAGGGGGCATTTGATCAGAGGGTTACGGTGCGCGCATCGCAGAAATGCGACTACACGGTGGTAACCTTTGTTCGGGGGCCGCAGTGCTGGGTTGACCTCATCGCTTTCCAAAGCGAAAGGCCTGAAGCTATTCAAAGAGCCAGTCTCACTTGCTGAGCACATTCAATCAGGCTTGGCCAGTCACAGATATTGGTTCACAGTTATCTGGGGCTCACAGGCCTTTTTTTGCCTGGAGTTGGGCTGCCAGGGCAAAAAAAAACCCCACAAAACAACAGCTATACAGCCCTGTAGGTATACTACCTTCTGAATAGTCTCGAGTCTTGTGTGTTTTTTGTTTTGTTTTTTCTTCCTCAAGCCTTTCCTGTTGTGTGCAGAACAGTGCTGTCCTTCTTTGAGAAGCTGTAGTCCTAATTTGTCCAAGTGAGTGGTATCCCCAGAGCTTTTCAACTTTAACCTCTGCTTGCTGTCCTCTTGTTCTTAATGGTGCCCACACACATACAGCATGCTACAAAGAAATGCATGGAAGTTTTACGAGAAAGCCACCCAACGTACACAGCAAATTCAGAGTGGATGCTGAAAAGAAACCAAAGAAACCAAAAGAAACCTGTTTCAATACTGGCTTTAACATGCCTTTGTCCACCTGGCCTCACCATTTCCCTTTGGGGAAATCCCCAATGCCATCTTAAAGACAGTACCAATGCTATATCAGCTCAAGTCAAGTGTATTTTATGAGCCCTTGGAGGGACGAAGTATCGAATGTTGACTTCAGTAGCAGAGCTTGTGTAGAAATCATTGCAATGTGACGCAATTCCCTTATCAAACCCCAAAAATGGCAGGCAAAGCTGTTTATATGCCTTAGCAATAAACTATTTTAAAGTGCTTAATATTTCCAAACCATAACATTCTATTCGTTATGTTCAGACTGCAAACTATTATACATAACTGCTGATACAACTGTATTTACAACCCCCTTTCCAAAAAGGTTGGGATGCTGTGAGGATTGTAAATAAAAGCAGAATGCAAAGATGTTCAAATTATTTAAAACCTGTGTTTAATTGAAAATAGTGCAAAGACAACATATCAAATGTTGAAACTGAGAAATTTAACTGTTTTCCAAACATATATGTCCATTTTGAATTTGATGCCAGCAACGTGTTTCAAAAAAGTTGGGACAGGGGCAACAAAAGACAGGTAAAGTTGTGTAATGCTAAAAAAACACCCGGTGCAACATCTCATAACTAATTAGGTTAATTGGCAACAGGTCAGCTCACCACAAAATAGCAAAGAACTTGGGGATTTCATCATCTGCAGCACATATCATTAAAAGATTTAGAGAATCCAGAGAAATCTCTGTATTCAAAGGACAAGTCCGAAAACCAATATCGGCTGGTCATGATCTTTGGGCCCTCAGACGGCACTGCATTAAAAACAGACACAATTCTGTAGTGGAAATCACTGCATGGGCTCAGGGACACTTCTGAAAACCACTGACTGTGAACAGAGTTCATTGCTGCATTCACAAATGCAAGTTAGAACTCTACCATACAAAGAAGAAGCCATATTTAAACAGGACCCAAAAATGCTGCCGCCTTCTCTGGGCCTACTTAGCACACTTAAGATGGACTGAGGTAAAGAAGAAAAGTGGTCTGGGGCCTGACGATTCAAAATTTGAAATAAGGAGAAGGACTATCTGGCTTGTTATCAGCGCAAAATTTAAAAGCTAGCATCCGTAATGTTGTGGCGTTGCATTAGCGCACATGGGATATATACAGGTTTTGGCAACATATGCTGAAATCTAGACAGCCTGTTTTTCAGGGTAGGCCTCGCTTATTTTAGCAAGACAATGCCAAATCATATTCTGCATATATAACAGCAGCATGGCTACACAGTGAAAAAGTCCAGGTGCTAAACGGGCCTACCTACAGTCCAGACCTTTCACCCATTGAAAATACTTGGTGCATTATGAAACAATAAATACAACAAAAAGAGACCCCAAACAGTTGAGGAGCTGAAATCCTATATCAAGCAAGAATTAAAAAACATTTTACTTTCAAAACTACAGCAATTGGTCCCCTCAGTTCCCAAACACTTACAGAGTGTTGTTAAAAGAAGAGGTGATGAAACACAGTGGTAAACATGACCCTGTCCCAGCTCTTTTGAAACATGCTGCTGGCATCAAATTCAAAATGAACATACATATTTTTTAAAAACAATAAAATTTCTCAGTTTCAACATTTGATATGTTGTCTTTGTACTATTTTCAATTAAATATAGAGTTTAAATGATTTGCACATCATTGCATTTTGGTTTTATTTAAATTTTGCACAGCATCCCAACTTTTCTGGAAATGGGGTTGTACATTATTCTGTTAGCCTAGTTCGCAAGCTAAAGACTACACAGTAGAGACTGGTCACAAGTCAATTCATGCATGAATGCATGAGTCAGCACATGAGTCTTGAGTATTTAATAGAGAATTTTAGTTTAGTCTCGTTATTAGCTGCAGACATTGCATTGTACAAAAGTAAACCCCATTAAAACCTGTCAGATTCAGCAGAGCTTCAAATAATGAGCTTTTCATTTTAGAAAATCTTCCAGTCTGAAGGACAGAACCGAAGCTCTACACGCAGTTTAAAGGAAAGAAGCTAAACAACTTGAAACACTTGGCAAGTCTGTAGTTTACATAGTACCAAAACCTTAAAGAGCCCATGGATATGCTTTTTTACTGATTAGTGACTGATTTTCATTTGTTTTTTTTTTTGTTTTTTTGAGATCTTAAGTTATGTGTTTCATTGTCATGGCACAACGAATACTGTTTTCTCGAGATCTCGAGAAATTTATGCCACTATCATGACATACAATTGAATATTATTTTGATAAAACAATGTCCATTATGTCGGTATAATGACATACTGTGCACAGGACACTTTCCCAATAAACATCGCAAGATCACAAGAGGGCAAATGAAAATAACTTGTTATCACACACAAAAAAAAAATCCAGCTGAAATTTTATTGAGTTATTACTTTTAATCTATAATTTTCTGAAACATTCAGCCAGATTAGCTGGTATCTTCATCTATAACAGCTAGAGTTCTAGCTAGCATACTTGCTATCCAAACTAATCGAACTGGTGCCAGCAAAAGTTTGAAGTTGTTTTGCTACATTCCTTCAAAATTCATAATTTACTGCATGAAGCACTTTGTTCTGCTCATCAGACCATCAGGTTTTCCTATAATGAAAGGCTCATTATTTGAAGCCACACTACAGTAATGACTGTGTGATCGTAGCAAAACTGATAGGCATAGTTACACATGTAAGGTTGGAAATGAAAGGGTTCATTGCAGTCCTAATTTAATCAGTTTTGTTAGTTTTTTCAGGGTACAATATTACGTGTTCTTAATCGAGTCATTCAAGAGCGAATCCAAGTCAAGCAACGAGTCACTGACTCAAGTCCCCAACTCTGCTACACAGCTAGCAAAAAAGAAAAAAAACCTAAAAAGAAAATCTTATAGCCAGACGAAGCAAATATTCACAAAAGTTGTCTAAACTCCTCAAAAAAAAATTATGTTTTGCACTGCAGAGTTTGCATGGCTGACTGATTAGCTCACGGAGGCTAATCTAGCCAAGCTGAAAGGGTTCCAACTGAATACTCTGCTCCTCGCTGTGTCCTCCTCCCCTCATACCGCGAAAGATTACTTGTGTAACATAGGTGTGACTCGAAGTGAGTCGAAATTAGCAATGGCATGTTAAAGTAGGATTGAAACAGGAACCAATCTCACAACACACTCACACTTCGAGGGAAATTCAGAAAAGCTCCAAGAAATAAGTTAATTATTATCTATATTTGTTTAAACAAGATGCAGCATTCACTATAAATGAAAAGGCATACTTTCAGAGACATTTAATACACAATAACTCTACAATAAATATTTCCATCCTTTTTTAAAATCTTCTGATAAAAATATATATATATATTCAAATAGAACATTGAGAGGAGACGGATGCATCTTTAAAGGCTTCATAAATGAATCTGTAAAAGTGCACCAGAGAGGCTGTTGAATCATTATGATTGTGAATACTTAAAAGAAGAGTTTGACCAAACATGCTAATGTGGCTAACAGCGAATGAAAGCTAATAGCCATCAGTTAGCATGACAATCTGCACAATGCTAACTGCTGGCTGTTTGTTTCCATTTATTGTTAACAACATTAGCTTTTTTGACAGAACTATTCCTTCAAAAATAGCTGCCATGTGTAGCTGTAAGCGTTGTGTTGTACCATTGCGTTCCTGGAGATACAATTGCTCATTATGGTGCAACCAATGGCTTCCTCTAATCGCTTTAACACTGTAGTCACTTCAGTCTTTTCTGATTTCAGAACAGTTTTTATTGGGTCTCTTCAGTTTCTTGGGCTTGATCTGTAGATACTCAAAAAAAAAGTCCATGTCCTGCTTCTTGAGCTCTTCAGAAGTCTCTGCGGATGCTGTTCATTAAATTAGATACGCTCAAAATGAGATAGAATTCCAGTTCCGTTTGATTGTTCAAGCTACAGGAGGACAGGACTGAGCTTGAGAGGTCTTTTTAAGGAAGTGTCTCCTGGCTTAGCAGTTCTGCAGGCGTCCTCAGTTAACGCCAGGTCGATGACTGTGTTTAGTCCTCTTGTTGAGCTGATAGGGGATGACGTCGAAAGGCTTGCGCTCAGTTAACAGGTGTCCCCTGGGCAGGCGCTTCATGAAGTGGGCCTCTCGATGGTGCTGCATGGTGCGTGTGGCCTTTTTGGGCCGGCCCTTGCGCTGTGAACGCCATGTACCAGCTTTTGTACTTGGCGTTCTGGAGCGCCGTGTAGTTGTTCTCCAGGACAATCTCGGTGAAAATGCAGTCCCTGCCGTGACCCTTCCTCTGGAAACGAAGACAGTGAAAATATTCAGAGGGCAAAGTAGTTAGACATTTGTTATTTCCCTGTTTTTTTTTGTTTTTTATTTTTTTTAATCGGGGAGTTGCAGTTTGATCTTGTTAAAAAATTTGATCCAAGAACGGGAAGGCAAGCCAGTTTTATGCAAGTGTTTTTTAAAGAAAGTAAATGCATGAAAATGTGTAATGAATCATGCAAAAAAGAAAAAAATATGCCTCACCCGTCCAATCAGCTTTCCTTTCTTGTTCATGCAAATGTAAAAGCCTGTCTTGGCGCCCCGGATGCGAATCCGACTTCCAAATGTGTCCGTCTCCACAACTAGCTTGGCTGAAAATGTAAATAATAGAGTTTTGTTTTTTGTTTTTTTTTTGTTTTAAAGATCTGCATTGGTACATAATTATCAGACAAAATTGAGGATTACAGAAATGAGTTAAAAATAGACAAAGACAATTCACCACAAGGAAGCAGTATTTAAAATTCAATGAATGAAATTAAAAGAAAGAAATTTCAATTCAATTAAAAGAAACTGCTAGTCAGTGAAAGCGACCCTTAATTCAGAGGAGCAACACTGTATTAATGATTTTTTTAAAACAGTTACAGTACTGTGCAAAAATCAGAGAACATTTTTAATTTCCAGTCAAAACGGCCATTGAGTGCAGGTTATTCATTTATTCAGCATCAGCAAAAAGCAGAAACATACATTTAACAGGAAATTACCTGTTTAAAATGTCTACGTTCTAGTTTTGTGCACCTACTGCTACTTTAACTCCTCCGTTCTTCTACTAGACTTAAAACCAGTGAGTTACAGGTGCGTCCTCCCAACAAAAGCTGCTCCCAAAGGAGTCACACACATTATGTTCCCCTTCAAAGAGACTCTAACATTCACACAAGCAACCACTCAACCTCACAAATGTATTTCTCATGTGCATCTAAAATGATTAAAGGAGACATTTCTAACGAGATTAGATATAATATAGTCGAGGGAAAATAAGTCAAAAACCATCCAACCAATGCAACCAACGTCTAAGACTGAACCTTGGAGGAGTGGAAAAATATCCCTGTAAATTTCTTTGAAAAACTAAAAGCAGGACTCCTGAAAAGAATGGAAGCTGTAATAAAGGCAAAGATTGACAATAAATACTGAAAAAATCTGATATTGTATTTAGTTGGCTTCTGTGTAATACCGCTGTTAAATATGTATTCTGCTTTCTTCCTGTCACTGGAAAATAACTTGTTCCATTTTGACAGGAAATTAAATAAAGGGAAGGATGGTCTCAGATTTTTGCACAGTACTGTTCTCACTTTGCAGCAGCCAAAACTCTGCAAATGTGGTGAACTGTGATATGAAACAATTCAGCCTAACTCTGCTACACAACTTGAAATGATGATTTCACTCTTTTCATTTCTTTGCCCTGACTTTCGGGGCTCTTTAAGCGCCTGTCAATTTCAGTTTTGGCAGCTGAAATTTTTCATCTCAAGCCAAAAAGAGGACATGTGTGCTGTAGGTAAATTGACACAATGAGAGCAGTTCATAAACTCTGTGATGTGGACAAAAACTGAAAGAAAAAGCATGTCCAGCAGTGAGAAAGAAACATGAACAGCTCCCTTACGTAGCATCAATATACAGTCTACATTTCTGAAACAAACTTCACAAGCTGGTCATTTCAGGGTTCTGGATGTGGGCCCGGTTTGTGCCATATGTTGTTCATCATATTTTTTCATGGACCGCTGGTTTTATACTCTATTTGCTCTTTAACATTGTGATGTGATTACACAGACTTTTATTGGATTTATTAACAAGCTCGGTTTAGCTAAAACGTCTCGTTGTACCAAGTTAATCTTAAGCACTTTTCTTTTACTCTTTTCCCATTTTTCATCATAACATGCACCACACAGAGTCTACAAAATGTCTTGGGTGATTCCAAGCTTTCTTAACAACATCAATTGCAAATCACTTACTGTTTTAGCACTCAAGTCTAGAAAGTAAATATTCAAGGTTGAGATTTTTTAAATGAACACATTCATGGCCAACAACAAGTTAGTATGATACGAATTATGAGATTTTAAACCTTGGATGAACATCTAACTGTCTCCATTTAGTATAAAAGTAGTTCATACTTTTATTCACAATCAAATTTGGATTTAATATTTTTAAAGGATAGCCCCTGTGACCAAATATGACAAACTAAGTGATAAAAACTAATACACTTTTAGCCACATAGTTTGATCAATTTTTTAAAAAATTCTTCAGATTTATGCTCAGGCATGTTCATAGAACATATGGACCAAATGAACTACACCATTGCAGATATGGACATGAATATGTTAAGCTTTTAAACCTAACTTAATTAAAACACCATACATACAGTTATATGCAAAGGTTTGAGCATTCCTGGTCAAATGACAAGTTATATATATATATATATATATATATATATATATATATATATATCCCCAGTATGTTAAACTCAAATAAATAGAAAATTGAGCACAAATACTTCAGAACATATGAACTTATTTTCAGTTAGAAAGTCAACAATTTGACCAGGGGTTTATGAACTTTTGCAACCAAAAGTAAATCTTTAACAGTGTATATGGTGAATGTAGTATTTTCCTTCAATTGAGGTCAAAATCATATAAGAGTAAGCCTAATTAGACAATATGAGTGTGCTACTATAATTTTATTTTTAAAATAAGATTTTTAATTCCAAATTGGTTGTTCAGACTCTGAACATGTGCAGCAGTATGGTTCTGTGTGCGTTAGTTCTGAAAGGGAGATGATTAGCGGTAAAACGGTGAGGCTGACTTCACCACTCTCTTCATAAACTGTCTCATGCTCATACATTGAGTTGTAAAGCAATGAAAATTCCTCATAAAATGACCCTCCAGTAGGCAAAGTGGATGGATGGCACTGGTGGAAAGATGGCTAGACACTCCGAAATTCTTTGGTGACAGGAATTCACTCCCAGAGGACGGGATCCTAACCACTGTGTTTGGCTTGGAGCAAAACCCCCTCGCTAAGTTGCCCTCAAAACAGGTGCCTTACAGCAGATAGCTATAAAAATCTGGTCTAGTTCAAATAAAAACTTCACCGACTTTCTTCACAACTTCGCCCTATTTACAACAAGTCTTTATGTGAATCACAGGCCCCTACTTCAACCCAATTTTCAGTGCCGTTAACATTTTCTGCAAATGTAATGTACTTTTGGAGTGACCAACCAACCTTTTAATCCACATTACTGAGCCATTTCATGAGAGGGTGTGAGATGGACATTATACATATTTAAACAATCATGTCAAAGAATCCGGTTTTTATTCCTATAGTTTCAATTACACATTATTTTTAGCAAAAAATGTTTGTTCCCACCACATTAACCATATTTGTTTTTTGTGCCAAATAACACAGAGAAGTACAACCCTATCATACTGAGCTCGTGTTGGAGGGGAATGTGAGAGGGAACGTTTCAGGCTAAACTGACCTCCAGGCCTCTTGTTATCAAGACCATTTTCTGATCATTTTGTGTGACAGGGTGGGCATGTTAAGCTTAATGGACCCTTTAAAGTATGGAGAAAACAATAATTTACCAATGTTGAATAAAAGCAAAGCAAAGTCATTTACTATTTACCATGTAAATAATACAAAGTGCTTATATTCCAATATACCATTTTCCTTTACAATTAGTTATATAATCTATGTCGATACACTTTGAATACATACAACAGTACTGTGCAAAAGTCTAACCTAAGCACATTGTTTAAGAGTATTTATCTTAGCAGTGAGTGTGTTTTACTTTAAAACACCATGTATCTTTACAATATAAGCAAATAAACATAAATACAGTAAAAATGAATAAGAATTTCTTTTTAAACAAAATAGCTGAGCTAGTTTGTAGAACAAAGTTTGGGTCCAGATTTTTAATAAATCCATCAAATGGATTTAGTGAATTCCATCACCAGCACTCCTGATTTAACTTAATGAAGTATTGATTAGCCAATCCAGGTGTTGGATGATAACTACAAATATTACTGGACTTCCTCGTGGAGCGGTTTGGAAATGGTTTAATGCACACTGACATATGAAAAATTCCTACTGGCTGCATTCATATTATTTATATTTGTTTTAATATTAATGTTTTCAAATAAACCCTTGCCGCCCAGATAAACAGCCTTTTAAATCTCATTTTCTCAGCTGCGTAAAACTTTCGCACAGTGCTGTGTATGTTCACGTAAACTCGGAAAACATTTATTAGCAGATTTTTGTCTCTTATACATGGTGGGATGAAACAGCATTATTTTCATGCAATGAGTCTACATACTAAGAAATACTGAGGAGCAGGACAGTGTGACCTGTTATATCTAATGAACATGAATATCTGATACAGCTGACAGGTATAATGCTGACTGATGGAGAAGACAAAGATAAGTAACTAGCAGGTTTAACAGTGTAGATGAATGGAGGCTCACTATTTGGCAAGCAAGATGTCTTTTTTGTATTATGCATGTGTTGTACTGCTTATGAATGATTTTAAAGTGTTTATGACCTAACTCATGACCGTTACTAAACTCATTTTGGACCATTCACAAACCCTTTGTAAGGGCAGTCTTGCTGTAAAGTGGTACAGAGAATCGTGTGCCCACATTATGCTGGCGTTCCTGAAGACCCTGTCTGCACATACAGGCTCGTCTCAGGGCTGCAAAATGGCCCAGTCATAACTCCACACTACGAGACTGTTATTAGACGGAGAGCAAACTCAGGAAGTGTTAGGAAGGCACGGCTAAGATGAGCGCTGATGTCTTTTCCAGACTTTCTCCAGAGAAATTCAGAACAATATAGATTACGTTTCAATGTATGTAGGCTAGGCTACTGGGGCCGGCATAACGTCGACTGAGGGAAGTGGTTCACCAACGTGCTCGGCGTGTGAGGCTTCCCCTCAGCGTGTCTCTTACCATGTACGTCCCCGTCCTCGCCATTAGCGACCACCCGCTTGTTCCCCAGGACCTGAACGTGTTTTCCACTCGTCCGGCTGTACAGCTGGTAAGTCCTCGTTAACCTCCGGCTCATCCTGTCAGACAGGCGACTGTGCTCCGTTACATGGTGCTTGAAATTGGGCACCGAGACGGACTGCATGGTTGTCTGAAAAGGTGAATAATTATAAAGACATTAGAAAATTGAGGGAACGTGAGAAAAACCCAGAATAATTCATAAACCGGCAAAATGCTGACGATATATGAAAATGTATCTGAAAAACAAACTAGCCGGTGAGGTAAAATAATAATAATAATAATAATAATAATAATAATAAGTACCTTTATTGCCTTGAAATTTTAAGCTTACTGAACTATTATTGTACTACTATTATTATTACTTTTACTATTTGAAATGTAATAAAATCTAAATGTTAAAGCAGCCTGTTTAACCTACTTCTTAGGTTAAAATATTGAATATTTTATTAATTTAGTTTTTATTTATTTATTTATTTAGTTAGTTAGTTAGGTAGGCAGTTGGATTTATTTATTTATTCATTCATTCATTTGTTTATTTATTTATTCATTTATTTATGTTAACCAAATTGAAATCTTTGGGTGCTTTAACTTAATGAAATAAAAGCTGCATTTTTTTCGTTTTATAAAATAAAAGTCCCACAACGTCACACACTTTCATGTTTCGTGTCATCTTGGGAACATTTGGTCCCCATAAAACGCTAAATACATGACACCCTCTCCAGATGAAGAGGCCCAATGAACGTTCATATGCAGCACAAGCGTTCAAGACTTTAACAGAGCGGCTAAAATGACGTTAATTACTCAAGTCAATTAGAGGTTGCGAAATCAGCCAATCAGAAGCGAGGAGAAACAGCCTATCGCGACATCTCCCCGGAGGAAAGTCTTCGCTCGCCTCGCGGGAGATGTGAGGCCTCTGATAGGCTGCTTTACCGCCAATGATCTTCCACCTCCGTCTCCCTGCGCCGTTTCCCTTAACGACCCTTTTTCTTCTCAGCTCAGCCGTGCGCGCCGTGTGTGCCCACATGTTATTACCATTACCCCTCAGCCACAGGGGGCTTACGTCTTTTCAAGATGTCTGACATTTTGCCAAAGACTCTATAATGATGAGTGAGCGGTTATAATACATTCACTGAACTCAACAACACAACACAAACGAACTAACATACGTAGAATGAATAGCTGCATGAACTAAAGCCTGGACGTTCCTCTGTTCTGTGTAAGGCTGGAATGAAGGCTTTGACCCGAGCAGTGGCTTCTGATTAGTTCAGGCCAATTCATGGCCAATAACTGCGTTTAGTGAAAGCACTAAATGCCATAAAGCTGAAGTGTAGCTTCACACTAGATGAATGTCTAACAGTACTTACATGTAGTTACATGTAATTTTCAAACTTTTATTCACAATCAATTTGAGTTTTTATTGAGATCATTAGTAATAATCTCTCTCTCTCTCTCTCTCTCTCTCTCTCTCTCTCTCTTTCACTTAATGGAGTTTGATATAGTGCAGGGCTGCCCAAATTGGCCCAAGAAGACATTTGTTTTTGCCCACCAAAAGGTCACCGTAAGTCCACCCTTTACCCAAAGACAGTACATATTTTTTTTACTATAAATAAATTATACAATTCTTATATTCCTTTTTAAAAATATATTTCTGAAGTATTTTAGCAGGAAAATGTAGTCATAAAATCAATTTTTAAAAACTATTTGAAATCTACTGATCATCTTTGTTTGTGTATTGTTTTGTCTTTTTGGTTCTCAATCTGCTGTAACATTGTACTTTAGCCCCCAAGACAAAAGGTTTGGGCACCCTGATGTAGTTTGTAAACGTATCAAAACATTTCGTTCACTCCCCAGTCCATACAGTCCATACATGGAAACTCATCTGCAAAAACAGCCCATTTTGAAATCAATGGGCCTCATTCACCAACCGTTCTTAAGAAGAAATATCTTCTTAGGTAAGAACAGAATCCACACACTCAAGAGCACAAAGGTGTGAACAGTTCTGAGGTTTAAGAACACGTCATGAATCTGACGCAGACTTTTTTTTTCTTAGGACCTTTCTCAAGAACAAATTTAAGAAAAACGAAGATATTGGAGAATGAGGCCCACTGTTTTTTGTGATGTCACCGATCCAAAATATCACACCATTCCCATTTACATGCATTCATTTAGCAAGCTGCAGAAGTTTAGCCCTGAGAATTTGCACTGAAGTTATAAGGTGGGTTTCAGCCCAGGCTGCTTTTTGAAAGAGGCCCAATACACAGCAGCCAATCAGAACAGAGATAATTTACATGTATCCCTCTTAAAGGAAGGGGAAAAAATATAAAATACAAGAAACTACAAAAACATAGGCCGTGGGCTCTTTAACAATAGAATTTACTCTTTAGATTGATCTGTTTGATAGATTTAAATTTGTTTTTTTCAGATTTGGTGTTCAGGGAAGCTTAGAGAACATGAGCCAAGAAACATTTATAAAAGAGTCTGAAGCAGCTGCACATGAGCCTAAGGTCACCATGCCCAATTCCCAGCGTAAGCTGGAGGGGTATATTCCACTGTGGAGCAGTGGGACTGTGTTCTCTGGAGAGATGGGGATGAGCTGGAGTGATTCAGAACTAATCAATCCAACATCAGTACCTGACCTCAGTAATGCTCTTGTGTCTGAATACAATCAAATCCTCAACCAAATAAGTCTCTATTAATTAATAAAGTCTCTTGATTTCAGAAGAGACTTTGAAAATGTGTGAACTTTTGGACATACAGCCTATATACTCTTCAAAAAACTGGTTCTTTAAGAGTTCTTTAGTAAAGCGAATGGTTCTGTTTAGTACCATGAGAACCATTTAGTTTTTCTTTAGCTGGTTCTTCAGCTTGCTGGAGAATGTGTTGTAAATGGTTCTACATGGAGCTTGACCTCATTGTATCAACAGAACCTTTTTTAGTGCTTTATAGAGCCATTTTCAAAAAGGTTATATTAAGAACCATACACAACACATTCTCCGTCTGTCCAAAGAACCATTTCACCATGCAAAGAACCAATTAAGCATGGAATGGATCTATATAGAAGTCATGGTTTTAAACAGAACCATTCCCTTTAATAAAGAACCCTTGAAGAACCATGTAAGTGTGATACATGCTTTGGTTTGGCTGCTTGTTTGCAAAAGCTTACCTGAGTGTAAAAGAACAGCGTCATTAATTGGAGCAACCTGCAAAAAAGGGGGTCGGTTGTTAATAAGGGGGTCTAATAGTTATATGAATTGGTGAATAATAGTCTGTGTAGATGTACTTACAGGTAACCCAGTCTAGAAGGTTTCAGCTTCATTTTGAAGTTCTACAGTCTGCTGAAGTTCCCTCTGATCTAAGTCCTTCATGAGTTCCACTGTTTCTGAGAAAGGCGATGGTTCGAGATGTCTACTGAAGTGAAGCCCGTCGCTCATCAGCTACAGTCTTTCTGTCCCAGTCTGACAGTCCATCTGGGAGTCCATGCGTCTCTCCGCGCCGCGTCTCTGATCATCCATTAAAACACATTTGACCACGTTTTACCCCGAAAGCAGATGCTTCGCCATCCGCGTTCACGAAGAACTTAAAAGCAGACCACCTGCGACGAGGGTCCGACATCCAGCGGCTCGTGGGCATTTATGCTGCGCGTTTGGCAGCCTGTGCATTCTGTCCACTTTCTTTATTCACCCCTATAATATATATAATACATCCTCGCGAAGCCAATTCAGTCACAGGGAAACGAAAACGTCACTCCAAGTTTAGAGGAAGGTCCGCGTGCAGCGTCCGAGACGGATGCCTCAAGCCTGACTGTCCATCAGAGAGACTCCAATGTCAAAGCCACTTTTTCACGTGTTCTCTTTCCAAAGTCCCGACCACCCTCCTTCCCCCCTCCCCTCAGCGCTTACATCCCACCTTCAGACTGCTGGTCCACACGACAGCAGAGGAGCGAAGGCAACGGAGTTTTAAAACATTTACGAATTTCCAAACTGAAAATGTGACAAATTGCACCAAAAAACAGATTTTCTGGCAGCAAATTCTCCAGTAATACAACTTTTTATTTACAGGACTTTTTACTGTACAGTGTTTTCTCCAGACCTTGTATTTCAGCTCATATGTGCCGGTTGGCTATATTATGTACATCATGTAAAGATGTAGGCAAACGCCACAACTCTAGCTATAGCTTCTGAATGTTCATACACACTGTTACATTGTTGAGAGAACGATCACACTGCGGTGTGATTCACAACAGTCTAATACTGTTTATCAGTCACGCAATGAGCTGAACATCACATTAGTTACATATACCAGCTGCATATACCAGCTTATACTGGTCATTAAGATGACAAAGATGACAGTGATCTAATATCTTTCAGTTACAATGTTAAAGGATGAATTAGTTAACTGAAACACAAAAAAACATCATTGTAATAATCCCAAAACAGGTCAAATGCGTTATAATGCATCTTTGGGGTAGGAATGATGTGATAACAACAAAAGCCTTAAAAAACATTTAACTAGACTGTAAGGGATGCTGGGAAGCTCCACCCTCGTCACTGCAATATTCAGAGACATGCTGCTCAAGGCTGTGCAAAGTACCAGTCACTTTTCCTATATGATCTGTAAATACCAGCTAATTACGGTAAAATCCAGTATTTTAACTGCTTTTACAAATGCTTGCCCTGTTTCTCCTTTAGCTGATGTAATCATACATCAGTTCTTTACAGTGAAACAGGTGTGAGGTTCACAACAGCTTATCTTCTCTAACTGAGAGGAATAAACATCAGATAATGAGAAATTTATCTGAAACGTTTGCTTTGGTTCATGAGCTTGTCTGAGCATGAGTCTGAGGATTTCTGAGGAAATCAGAGGATTCAGGTGAAGTATATAGCTGAAAAGTGAGGTTTTATCACTCATATTATCATATTAAATTTAGTCTTTTGGTCACAGGACATTCAACAAAACAGCAGAAAATCTAAATTTGTTTGTGAATATAAGTATGAAAATCACATGTAATCAAAATAAAACAAATGTGTATTGTTAGATGTTCATTCTAGATAGATCTATACAAGATTTCACTCTATAAACCAATAAGGATTAAAGCATTTTTGATAATAGAGCAACAGCTCATTGCGCTGTGGTTTATTTAGAACATATTTCAAGTGTTTACATCCCAGCTCATGTTGTACTTTTATTCTAAAATCATTCTGCTGCAGATGTTTAGCTGTAAAACTAAACTGGACATGAAAGTACTGGAGATTTCATAGCTGAAATGAAATAACAACCCCATGAAATAATGCAGTTAAAAAGAAGTCTGATGTTTTTTTATTTCTATGCATTGGCAGACCTGGTAGACCACCAAAACTGTCCCCATGAACTATACGACACAAATCAGCCAACGAAGCCTGTTCTGTTTCTGTCCATCCTTCCACTGTGAGATGATAACGATATGAGTCTGAAAGGATGTGTAGCTATCAAGAAGCCCTTACTGAGAAAATGAAATAAACAAAAAAGAAGAAAACTGGACATTTTATGGACTGATGACCTCTCTAGTTGTGTGTTGGATGCTGGTATGATGGTCAATCAGCATGAGCATCCTGGGTGATCAGCTAAACCAGCACCAGAGCAACATAAACCATCTTAGACCAGCATGGAACTCAGTATGGGGTCTAAATTTGTAATTGAGATTTCTTGGAGAGGGAAGCAAATATGCAACCAACTTCTAAGACTAAACCTTGGAGGTGTGGAAAAATATTCCTGCAGGTTTCTTTGAAAAACTGAAAGCAAGTCTGTTGAAAAGAATAGAAGCTATAATAAAGGCAAGGAGTGGACACAATGAAAACTGAACATTTTTATACTTATTGTACTTAGTAGTTGAGGCTGCTGTATAATTTTTGTTAACCCCCTAAATGGCCTGGACCCACCGGTGAACCCAGAGTTTTATCACACACTTCTATAACCTAAGAACAGCTCAGCCAGTTTGCACTGAAGTTGTTACTGAATAAAAAGCCTTAGTATGTAATAAGCCTGGGATTTTAAGGGCTTAAATATATGTCTTCTGCTTTTTTCCTGATGTTCAGAAAAGAATAACCTGTAATTTCTAGACATTTTATCTGGAATTTAAATAAATGAAAAGTGGTCTCTGACTTTTTCACAGGACTGTATGTTTATTCTCTTCCCAGGCTGTGAGAATAAATTGTTTACAGGCCCTAAAGAAGAACTTTTTTCACCCTGTATTATCACAAAAAACAACAATAAAAGCCATTCAGTGCCAATGCGATGTTGGACCCTGGAGTTTTCAACAATGTCTCAGCCTTAAGGGTATAATTTTATTCATCCTGATATCAGTTTATGTGAACAGCCAAGGCAATAGCAGGCCTTGCATGCGAATGCATTTAACGGCAGTAACATGTGGGCTACGTTTGGCATCCCTTTAAGTAATGACTCAGAAAGGAATGATTTGTCATTCCTTTTGGATTCACATAGCTGATCCGAGATCAGTTAGTTTTATGCCAGTACAGTTCTTGTGTACCAGAAGGCCATCTAAAATATTAACCCTGGGTCAACGACTGTCTACAACCACCATTAATGCTACGCTTAAATGAGAAAACATGAATACAATGGCAGGGTTCACTACAAGTACCACAAACTTCTCATCTAAGGCCTTCGTTCCCATATAGCCTACTCGAAAGGGAATACTTTTCACACCTTCTTGCTCACAGGGAAGGCTGAGCAGCTGTTCGGCGGTACAGAACATGTAATTATCGGTATTCATTCACATCGCCCCTATAAATCAGTCACACCAGGCTTCAGAAAGTGAGAATGTACCTGCATGATTAGTTCCAGAGGGACAGGGGACCTAGCAAAAGTGCTTTTGCCACCTGGAATGATTCAATTCAATAGTTAGCCAAATGTCACCTCAGACGGTACATTTACCCTCAATGTGTGGGTTTTTCACATTTTTTCTACGTTTGGCATTAAAGTTGCTGTGTCTGGTGTAAAGTGGTTTGTGTGTGTATAGTGGGATTTTCATAAAGCCGATGTTGCTAACAGTGACAGATATACATCTAAAACCTTCCATCTGCCAAGATTTCTTCTGAAATCGAGAGTATTAATGGGAAGTTTGCCCCCCTTCTGCTGCAGTATCAGCCTTTACTCTTCTGAGAAGGCTTTACACTACATTTTGGAACATTGCTGTGAGGATTTTATTGCATTTAGGCACAATAGTATTAGTGAGGTACTGATGTTGGATCACAAACACCACACTAACTCATCCCAAGTATCCATCCAGGAATTGGATGGAGCTCCATCACTCCAGTGAACACATGTCCACTGCTCCACAGCCCTCATGCTGGGGGGCTTTATACCCCTCTAGCTGATGCTTTGCCTTAAGCATAGTGACCTTAGGCTCAGTGCTCCTGCTCCAAAGCATCTCATTCTGTTAGTAATGCTTTTCTATGGGGATCATACATGCTGTGTGTGAGCAATTGAACACTTGTGCAGCAATGGATGCACCTAAAAGTAGCTGATTTCAATAATTAGAAGTGGGGTCTAGCTTTTACATAATTCAGTCCCTGAGATGTAAACAAAGTCATTCAGAGTGGTTTCATGTGAGATGGGTCTATATAGTATACTTAGTTTCTATATACAACCATAAACACTCAAAGAACCATTTTCAGGCTTAAACATTTACATTGTTTGTACCTTGATGAATGAAAAATGTACATGCACAGTACCTTTATTTCTAACAGTGTACGGTTCTATATAGAACCTTTTTAAAATGGTTCCATATAGCACCAAAAACAGTTCTGCTACTGTTACAAGCTTGACACTGTCTCTGCTATGAATATGTTTTATTTTGTCTCGAAGTTCTCATAAAACAATGTCTCACACATCAGACCGCATGTTCATAACCGGTTTATGTAATAATTTTTTGAGGGATCTTTTAGAAGCATTAAAAGCTTTCGGATGTCTGGTTCCTATCCCCACCATTCTGACTCTAGAAATGGAGCATTTCACATCAAACCAAATTACTTTAAATGACTTTATTTAGATCTCACCTACTTAATTAGGTAGAAATTTTGAAGAATGGGTGGAATTCCACTTCGGTGAATTGGTGGAACACCCTCTCCAACATCATAAAGTGTTCTGCTTCGAAAGCTTAAATCTTTCTCTCATCATTTGTGGTCGAGTGGCCAAAATAATCCAATAATGTGGTTAACCAAAAATCGTGTTTTGTCAAACTGCTGAGAACCACAGTATTATTATTCCACTCTTCTTTCCCTTAATCAGCTGTCGTATTAGTGGATCTGGCTGGGCCTGTGTGGCTGTGCTGTCTGTAGTCTGCTCACTGAGGGTTTGACACCAAGCCAAACATTGCCCTTGTTCTCCATCATCATGTTTCTCCTGGAGTCCAAACTCCACTGGTGTTTAATTCAGCACAATGCCTGATATCAGTGCAGTGTGAAGACAGCATTGTTAGAAGCAGAAGAATGAGAGAGAGAGAGTGTGTGTGTGTGAGAGAGAGAGAGAGAGAGAGAGAGAGAGAGGTGGGGGCAGTATTGGCACTGCAGTCTTTGGTTATTCTTAGAGGAAGAGAAGAGTGACTGAATGTCTGAAAGAGCTAGAAGCAGACTCCATTTACCAAAGTATTATTTCCTTTAATGTAGGTGAGTAAAACGATGGAAACTGAGAAAGTACAGAGCAAGGGGGAAAGTGAGCAGCAGAATATGCTTTTAAATGAAAGGAAATGGCAAATGATCATGGTGTCTGTAACCTGCGCTGCACAGTATGTGAAAGTCATAATCTGATTGCATATGATGGCAAAATAAAGCATAATTCATTAGTCTTTGTAATAAATAGACCT